AACTCTACTTCAATGTTCGTGGCGAACCGGAAAACCGCCCCAAGCACGCCTTTAGTGCGCGTGGTGGGATGGGACCCCGGTGCGACACCTATGGCGAGGCGGGGTCGCTCATAAGTACCCCCGGGCGGGGGGAAATTAAAAATGCTTTTCAAAAAAAAAAAATCCTTTTTAAAAAAATCCCATGCACGCCTTTGTTGCGCGTGGTGGGAGAAAAACAAATACAACCGCCGCAGTGTCTCATCAACACCAACCGTGCACGTCTTTAGTGACATGGCGGGTAGGCGACCTCTTGGTTTTTTCCCCTTAACGGGGGAGACGTCGGGAGGCTGCCGAAATTTTGTCTGAAATAAGACAAGGACTTTAAAAAAAATGATGAACTTGAGCTTGACTTGAACTTGCAAGGTGGACAAGAACTTGGACTTGAACTTGGACTTGAACTCAGACTCAGAACTTAACTTGAACTCAGACTTGGAGCTTGGACTTGAACTCATGCTCATATCTGAACAAATATTGGACATTATTTGGACAACAGGGGACTTGATTTTGGACTGCATGAAACATATTCCAAACTTAAATGATTAATAAGATACTTGAATCTAAATAAAAATGAGCTCAAGCTTAAACTTGGTTCAAACACTAATTTTTGGATGATAAAGAAATCATCTTAGACTCAAATAGATTCTAATCAAATGACTTTGAACATATGATGAATTTGATCATGCAAGTAGAAATCTATGGATGAATAAAAGACTTATATTTTAAAAAGGGATGAATTGTTGATTCATTCATAAGGGCAATGTAAGCTCTTAATGAGCTTGATGGCTTACTAATGGTCACATACAAATGACTGTGACCATTCACATGCAAACATATGCTGAAGACTTATGGTAGAAAGAATAATGCACCTACAAATGAGAATGTGAACCTATTACACATACAACAATTCATTCACAAGAAGCTATAGGAATCTTATGAATATTTGTGGATGATCATGGAAGATAATGAATATCATGCAAGCCATAAACGGTTGTGCATCCAACATGTTAGTTAGAAGGAAGAGTCATTTCAATCTCTCTCATGCAAATTCAACACTTGAAGCAAAATCCATCCGCCCTCCGCAACAGTTTGTCGAGGCGGACAAATTTAAATAAACTCTAGCTCACAAAGAGCTAATGCCTAGTCGAAAATATCACTAGGATCCATTCTCAAACAATCTCTTGCCAGTAAGGACGTGGTACGTGTCCTCTAACCGGCAGTTTCGCCGCCAAATGGCACTGCAGGTAAACGGTTATGACCCGGGGCCCTCTGAACCGAGTGGTTTTGCCGCCAAATGGCACCACGGATAGCGGTTATGGCCAGAGCCAATACGCTCCTTAATGGCGTTAAATCCTTGAGATATGAATCAATAGGATATGATCGATAGGGCACAAAGCCCTCTGTAAGCTAAGGTGGATTCAAATTTGTCCCTTTAAGCAAATAGCCACCCCAGGTCTACAAGGTCCCCTTGGATGAAGCAACCCATGGCTGCCGACAAGGATCCTTCTGTCAGGTTGGGTCGACTACCTCCTCTGACTAAGTAGACCAGGGACCACGATGGCCCGGGATGACGGAACCATGGGATCTTGATCGAGTCTATCATCCATTCCCCCACCATCCGCTTTAAGTTCAAGATGGTGAAATCTCAATTTTAAATACCAAACCCTTTCAAATTTCCAAACTTTCAACTATTTCCAAATCTCAATACCCATGCTGCTACTATATGCCAGATAGCACGTATATTCTACGTATCTGATTGACGACTAGCCTTAATCGATAGTTCTCTCTCGTTATCGGGAGGGGTAATTAACTATAGGGGCTTGCGCCTATAGGAAACCAGAACTCAGATCATAAAGTCCTCAAAAAATGAAGGCGAAATCTCTGGGCGCTGGGTAGTGTCTTATCTACAAACCCATCTTCCTTCACAGTCAAGCTCGTTATCGGGAGGGGTAATTAACTATAGGGGCTTGCGCCTATAGGAAACCAGAACTCAGATCATAAAGTCCTCAAAAAATGAGGGCGAAATCTCTGGGTAGTGTCTTATCTACAAACCCATCTGCCTTCACAGTCAGGTGAAATTATTTTGTGCGGACACCGGATCGTCCGGAGGTGAATCAGAGTGCGCCATGTCACCTGGTACACAGCAAGTACATAGTCGCGGGACACAACAAAGGGGTTACATGGCTCACTCTGATTCTGTAAGACCCAAACATGTACGCTTAAATTAATAAATAAAATGGTTTATTAAATGTCTGCATCTTTGTAGAAATTTAAATGGATGAATAATGATTTTTTAGTTACTGTTAAATAGATTAATATTAAATATATAAGCTTAATACTAAATGTTTATTATATTAATATTAACAGATAAAAGAATCTAGTAATATAAGTTAAATAGATAATTAGATAAATCCCTAATGACTGAATAGATGCTTTGGTTGGAAAAGGGCAGTTATAATCCTTATTCAATTCGTTTTTCAATGAAGCCAAAGGAATTCGGATAAGTATCTAAGGCAGTTATTGGAGTGGGACAAATTTATTAGTGTTATTCACGTGTAATGGTGGAACCGGAAGGCTGAGATAGATTCCGTATGCAAAGCAGAGAAGGAATACAGGAATTGCTGTAGCTATCTTCGGCACAATGTATGCATTCAATGTGGCTTGGTTCGAAACATTATAGTGCATGTATTACTGTTATTCAGTCAGCATATTGAGAGTGCTTTCTTAGGCGGAACAATGCTGAGGGCGGGACTGTAGGGAGTTGCAGAAATCACTGTTTCAGGCATCGGTAAGGAAGATTTCTGTGATAAATCTGTAGTGTTTTAGAACATTGTTGATAGAAACAGTAAGTTGCTGTAGGAGAAGCACTTGGAGGAAATCAAGGGGGTAAGAATTAACAGTGATGCAAGGTGCAAACTAATTGAGAGATCAGTGAAGTGAATGAAGGTTAAGAGAGAAGTTAGGATTTATCAAATACATACATGCAAAGAGAAGGTTTCGTAGTGACTTACAATCATAGAAGAGTTCGTAGTGGAGGATTGGGGGAGACTCCTCAACAAGGAGGTAAGAATGCAAAGTTCTAATTAAAACATACGATTTTATCTTATGCATATGATATTCAATTAGCCATGCAGTAGTAAATCAGATTCATATGATCAAAGAAAAATATGAAGTATGAACAGGTATGAAAATGTTAGTATTTTAGTTGATGATTCATTGATTATAAAATCAAATTGTAAATTTCATGCATGAAAATTCTATACACGAAACGGATAGATGAAATTTATGAATGTTATAATTAACATAATCATGATGGCATTCTGATATTTATATGATGTAACTGTTAGATGCATTTATATTTATCAGAACATGTATGAATTATGCTGAATATCAAATTAATAAAGATTGGTTGGTTATGATATGATGTATGCAATATCAGGTGGGCAAAAGGGACCCATTATGAAACCTGTATTGTATATGGGGCAAAAGGGACCCCAGAGAATATGATACCTGCATAGCAGGTGGGGAAAAAGGGACCCCTAAAGAGGCAAAAGGGACATCTGTGTAATTCAATGGCGATAATGCCAGGTTTACCTGGGCTCTATTGAATGGATTTCTAAATGTAAACCAATCTTTTAAAAGTCTAAAGTTGATATTCAGTATAGTCAATAGTGGAAGGAAAAGATTATTGCTACATGGCCTTATATGAGATTTTCTTATTATAGTTTAACTTATGATGTTTTCTAAAATTGGTTTCACTTATTATTTAATGGTTCCATATTTTTATGAAATTTAATTGTGAAATTCTTATTGAGCCTCACAGTTCACCAGTGTTTTCTTACTGGCTGTTGTTACAAGAAAGGGAAAGGAGAAGATCATATCAGACTAATTTGACAAGTATTATATATGTTATGTTATATAATGTTAGTATTTTATCTTTGTTTGAAGTCTAAACTTGAGGTATGTAAACTTTCCTGTGATAAATTACTTTGAATTTTTGTAATGACTCTATAAATATCTTATGTCAAAATTTAAAGTTATTAGTTGCTTCCATTTGATGTGATGTATGAGAGCTGAATTGTTGGATGTTTTATGTCATCAAATGTGCAAAAGTATCATATGATCAACTAATGAAAGGTTTATGCTAGTAATACTCCTTTTACCGTTAGGGGGTAAATTGGGGTGTTACAGATTCATCTTGGGATGATGTCCGTATCCACACAGAATAATTTCACCACATTTAGAGCCCCATTTAGGATAAGAAATTTGGCAGCATGTCAGTTCCAAATTTGAAGTTCTTTCTGGTCACGTGTTGGCTATAATATCAGCCATATGAGCGTGATGGTTAGCCTAAGCTTGGTTTTGATGTTTCTTCTATCATTAAAAGGATGAAGCAGCTGTTAAGGTTAAAACTTCAGCGTTAAATTAATCCCTGAGTTTTACTATTAAGTACTTCAAAATATCAATAATCCGGTTAAGGTCCATCTGCTAAATTCCTATAGTTTAAGTTATTACCTTATTTGAGAACTAATGTAGCTCTCCATGGGAATGAATGAGGACTATTCATTAATCTAATCACAAATAAATTTGATAAAAATTAATGATGATGGTGATAATATCGGGAAATTTTGTTCTCTCTTTTTTTTTTTTGAGTCTCGGTGTGCATTTTATAAAATTGTCCGTTGCAAGTGATTTCATTTAATTCTGTGTGCAGTTGCAGGTATATATGCATTCATAACTCTTAATGTTTTACTAAGGAATTTTTATGAGTTCGATTGTTTTTTAACAAAATTATGTGCTTTCAACAATCCAGCTGTAACTATTGGTGCAAATGATAGTCTTGAACTCTTTTTGTGCCTAGATTTAAAAAGAATGACACGTAGGTTGCTAAGCAAATTTCCGTTATATTTTTGGTGTATGGCTATTCTTTTTTAATTGATTCATTGCTTTGCTTTTCTGTACAGGGAATTTTATCAGCCATTGTTTTCTCAATTATTCCCATGATTCGACCTTTTGAGTGGCAGAGCTTGTTTCTTCCGGCAAGTACTTTAACTATCATATATCACCTATGGATATTAGATTTACCCACCACTTATGAACTTAACTGCTCCATCTTAATCAGCAAAATTTCTTATACTTTTAATATAATTTCCCATAAAATGGAATTAGTTATGATAACATTCTTCAGGTGTTCAAACTTGAAAATTAGACATCCTGCAGTACATATGATTTGTCACTTTGATTTGTTTTTGGTACAACTCAAATTGAGTTAATGTTTTGAGTTTCGTTGGTCACTATAATTAATCAGTATCGGTTGAAGCTTACTTTAATATAAGCTATTAAGCTATTGACATTGTTTTAAGGAATAAAAAAAGTGATATAATGCAAGAGGAAGAAGAATCTCTAATGGGGAGAGATGAAGGTGGACAGATGAAAGATCTTCAAATCATTGACTCAGCAGCTTGCAACTGCTTTTGTCCAGCATGACGTCTCCTGCTGCCAAATAATGCATTGTCCATGTGATTGTAAGGATTAGGGGCCTTAAAAAATCCTCAAAATTTTGGAAACCCTTCAGAGTTGAATCAGTTTTTAGCATCTTGTGGGTAGTATTCAGTTTATTGCATACTTAGAACCAAAATTTCACCCCCCTTTTTTTGTAGGCCTGGGCTTGTTGATCATGATTGTGATACACTTAGTTTGGCTTAAGCTAGTGAGACCCTCATCACTCCCTCTATCTCCTATTTATCTCTCCTCTCACTTGTTAGCATGGCCACTTCGACTATCTCTATCTATTTCAGATCAAGCATACCCGGCACCCTTGTCATCAACTATGCTAGTGAATCTGGAATTATTGCCATCACAAGCTTCTTCTTCATAATGGCAATGTCCTACTCAATTGCCTTATCACACAGCTGACCCTTGCTTCCTTCACCTTCTTCTTCATCACCGGGAAGGCTTGCCCTAGGAAGACACAAATATGCTTTTCAAGTATCACTTTATTCATTATAATCTATGTTGTAGAAGTAACTACGGATCAAGTCTGTAATTTTCATAATGATATTATTTTCTATAAAAAATGATTACTCCAAATCACTTTTTAATCCTTTTGTTCATCAATTAAAACATCAAATCTACTCAAAATAACACAAATCGTCCATCTATTAAACTCCAAGTCCCGTGGAAACTAATTGTAGTGAAAATCACTAAATCTCTTCCCAATCGATCATAAAGGATGAACTGCCTTTCTATTACGTTTGTGGATAATTATGTGTTTCATGTTGGCATAGTAAGTTTCTGTAATGCAGCCTAATCAAGCCTTCTTAATAAGCTGCTTATGTCATAGCATTTTGGCTTATCTGCTGCTAGTTACTTTTGACGGCAGGGTAAAGCACTTGGGTAGTGGGATATTTTTAACATCCCGATGAGATCTAAATTCACTCCTGATGATACTCCACTCTTCCAAATTTTCGCAACATAGATATTGCCTGCTATGAATTGCTGAAGACATTTAAAAGATAAATGAAGACAAGGAATTTTCCTCGAAGTCATAAAATTACTTCTTATTGGCACGAATATAATGCTAATTTTTTTTAGGTTTACCTGCTCCTTTGTATTTCATGAATATTCTTACGCGTGATGGCATGTGGTATATTTTTGGTGATATGGGGTTGTAGTCATATCTTTGATGCTGGAAACTGAAAGCATCCATTTTGGAGCTCATGAAGACAAATGCCTGCATTGATTTAGGTTGAGGCAGTAACACCTTTTTTCATCTGCTCTGGTTTTCTTTATCAACATGTTTTTTTTGCAACACAGCTGGCACATTTCGTTTGCTAAGGTTTATTATTTGTTATTCTTTGTTTCTATGTTTTGTAAATTCTATTATCTGATTGATATTATCCGTCTAAAAATGTTGTTTGCAATATTTCAGGTGCTACCGAGAAAAATGCTTGATTTCCTTGATGCTCCAGTTCCATTTATTGTGAGTTCCAATAATCCTTTTTTAATTTTTATTTTTTTAATTTTGTATAGTCTTGTGTTTATAATTCAATTTTAATTGAAATTTGTTCGGATCTTTGAAGATTTATTTTTGACATAATGTTATTCGGCCAAGCATTTCTTTATTTAGCTTGAGTTGGTATCTGTCCTCTTATTCTCTTGTGAAATCATTAATTCTGTATTTTGAAGTATGATCTATTGTAATGCTCGCTTCCAAAATTTGGATATTAACTTTTTTTTTTTTTTATCTAATGTTCAGGATATGCAGGACAGATTATTTGCTAATTGTTGCTTCAGCATCATGCATATCATGTTAATCTGAGTAAAAATTGCTTGCTATAAGCATTTTACACTTTTCAGTGTTACCATTAAATCATGTATTGTTAGATTAATTCGCTCAGAGATTACACCCATGGCTCATACAGTTTTTAGAAACTGAATATTTTAATACATTAAATTTAATAATTTTGAAACTGTATGTTTATTAGCTTAAATTATTATTATACTTTTATGTTTTCTATAGTGCCATGAAATTTTGATCTTTGTTTTATTAAGGCTAATTTCTCACCAAATGATGCTTGGAAGGATTTTTATATGATTATTATCGACCTTGAAAAGCTTATGATCGAGTAATGTGATATTCTTTGGTGTTAAGGAAAGAAAGTGTGTTAAAGGTATGTTGAAATTATTAAAGAATTATTTGATGGAGTTTTGACTTGTATTAATAGTTATGCACTGACCAAAGAATTCTCATTTACAATAGGATTAAATTAAGTATAAACATTAAGTTCGCATACTTCATAATAGTTATGGAGATGCTTAGAAAAGATGTTCTAAGCCTCTGTCTGTAATTTTCTTATGACATTATTTTAATTGGTAAAACATCCGCAGGAATAAGTGAAAAGTTAAAATAATGGAGAAAATATTTAGAGCTTAAAATGGATTAAGATTAATAGAATGAATATTAAATATATAATCTGCAATTTGATTTGGTGTGATATTTAATATTATTTCAACAACAACATCAAGCCTTTATCCCACTATGTGGGATCAACTACATGATTTTTTTTTTCTCCATTGTGTTCTATTACGAGTCAAATTCTCATTTGAAACTAATAAAGAAAGGTCATTTCCAATTTTTTAAACCAAGACTTTTTAGGTCTATCTCTACATTTTTTTACCATAAGCTAAATCTAATACATCTAATATCCTAACAGGGTCATTGGAAGGCTGCCGTTTTATGTGACCAAACCATATAAGGCGATTCTTTATTAGATTATCTTCCACTAGAGCTACTCAAACCTTTTTCGCTTGTATACTCGTTTTGCATTCCTTCTCTAAGTGTAAAGCCAATCCTCCTCCTAAGTATATTCTCATCTCTGCAGCACTTAACTTAATTTTATACTTCTCTTACATATTTGTTTATTTTTCTCGGGCAATTTACTCTGGTTTCTTCTTCATTCATACAAGTTCAACACCTTTTTTTTTCTCCTCTATTTGGATCACACCTACAATTTGATTGTTTTAAGTTTAACTACCATCATATATTATATATTTATAACTTTATTTCATTTAAAACCTGCTCCATACTAATTTTTATAGTAATATTATTTCAAGATAAATATATACTGCATAATTAACTTCATGGTAATATGATCATATTTTGGTGTGTTACATTAATGATACTAATTAAAAATGATAAATACTAGCATTTTATTAAGTACAAAATTCTTATTTTTAATTATTCTTTAATTTATATTATCATTATATAGTTGAATATTTTTTAAAATATAAAATTAAAATGTTGAAGGTTGCGTTTCATTTTAAATAATTGTCAAGCACTTTGTTTCACACTTCAGTTTTTGAAAGCATTGATTAATTATTTATTGGCTTGGGAATTACAAAGTAAAATATAGGATTTTTTCTATGGCCGTGTGTATCTGTGTTTGTCGCCTATATCTTTATTTTGTGTCCTCAAATGTATTTCATAACGGGACCATCTTAGTCCTGAAGTTTGATCAGTTTCATGAACGATTTGAGGCAATGTGGCACTGCTCAAGTTTCATAACGGGACCATCTTAGATTATTATCTTGTTGATGTGTTTTGTTTTTCCCTTTTTTTTACGGAAAGGGTCATGCTTTCATTTATCATTTAGAGAATCTCTTTATAGCTTTTAAAAGCTTGGACGCGTTGAACCAACATGCTTAGGCTGCTTGGATGTTTTATTATATAACTTAGTACTGTGTTATTCATGATAGTTTTGAGAAATTACTATTTGAAGGATGCTATCTTTATTTGGTTTTGCAGGTGGGTATACAGTTTAAGCCATCTGACAAAAAGCTGAAAGCAGGCAATCTTATTTGGGTTAATGTCTGCAAGAACAAGGTTCGTCTCTCAGACACAGCTGACTTGTTAGCCAAAATTAGAATTCTTCTACTCACAACTACTTTCAAAAAAATTTCTCCTCTCATAAATTTCTTGTGGAGACAAATACCTGGTGAAAATTTTTTATATTTCTCCAAAAATTGAATGATTTGTGTCCTTTAAAGCATGAACACCTCTTAAGCACCAACACGCAACTCAGATAAGCCCCGAAACGTGTCTGAGATGTTCAAAATTGTGTCGGGTTTATTAAGAGTAAAATTTACTTTGGACTCAGGATGTACATGCCCCTAAGACATACATATCGGGATTAAAATATTTATCTTGTGTAAATTTTATCTCATCGGTGTTTTCTCCTATAATAATGAGTGACATCAAGAGAAATTTTATGCCCTTAGCCCTAGCTTAGGAAGTTGAGCGACTCTACCCTCAATGCCTTCTCATTTCGACGCATAACTTCAATGGGCTTTGAGTGAGCACGGACATGACTTCAACTTCATGCATTTAGAGGCTTGGCTTTGACTTTGACAAGTGTCGGCTTACCTACTTACGTGGGAGTTCTACTGCGACGGAGGACTTTGACTTTAACGAGCTTCAAGCGAGGTTTGGTTTTAAGTTTAACTTCTATGAGATTTGGCTCACTTGTGCTCCAACAACATCGAACTTAAATGGTTTTTCCTGCATTGACTTCAGCTTTGACTTCAAATTCAAATCCCATGAATTTCTTTTTAGTATTAGTTCTTTATAAGATTTTTTTGTAGCATCCATTGTCTAAATTTAGGGTTTAACTATTGTGACATTTTCTTATTGTTTGAGCTCAAGTAAATCATATTTTTATTTTTCAATATTATTTATGTTAAGTGAAATCTTCTTGGTTATTGAGCTAGTAATATAACTTTTTAATATTAAAAATTTATTAAATTGAACATCGAGTCCATGACATGTCTTATGTTTTTCCATTTTGTTGTGGTGCCGTGTTCGATCGTGTCGTGTTTGTGCCCCTATGTTCGTGTCTGTGTTTGATAGGTTGTGACATAATTAATTGGAAAGTAAAAAAACATATTTAACATTAAAGAAACAATCATCCATTACAAACAATTCATGGTTTCTCTTCTTATAGTTCTTGAGTTCATTTCTAAATATTTGCAAAAATATAAAGTAAAATAAGTGTGTCAATGCTAAATCCCTTACCATAATTTGATTAGATAAATTTTGGAAAATTAAATTCAATCTGATCATGGATGATTGCTTGTTTTTATGTGCAGTGAATTACTTATATTATTATTTTTTCTTGTTTTTATGTGAACTAAATTACTTATATTATTATTATTTCTGTATTAGAAATGTGTTGCCAATATAATTTACCCATAGCAGATAGTTTCTCCTTTGAAAACACTGCAAAAAGCAAAGCTATCCAGTTTTGTGTGGATAGCAAAATTCAAGGGGATTAATTCCTGTATGGTGCAAACTGCAAAGTACTAACTTGAAGCGTCATGTTGAATGGCTATGAAAAGATTATGTAAAAATCGGTTTCCTGAAATATTTCGAGATGTAATGAGTAAGGAAAGGAGTTAGATAAAGTCGAAGGGAAAATAATGCTGACTGCTATTTCACTGGTTTCTTTAAGCATCAAATTTGGAAGTAGTTGAAGACTTTATTGGGGATTGTAAAACACTCGGGATTTAAAGTTGGGCTTGATATATTAATAGGTAAATCCATTTTGAATTGCAAAACTTAAACCGGTAGGAGATGGAAAAGTAATAAGTTTTTCTATCTAAATATATTTTTACTGATATGGGATTAAGCTCAATATTTTCACATGAGTTAAGAAATGTTACCCTAATGGCAAACTTTCACATCATTCATCATTCCACATCATCCATCCGCCCCCTTTTGCTTTTCTTTGGTGATGGAGTTTTAACGGATTAAGTTCCGGGGTAAATTTTGAAAGGCAGATGGGTTTGTAAATAATAAGACACTACCCAGAGATTTCGCCCTCATTTTGCGATGACTTTATGATCTGAGTTCTGGCTTCCTATAGGCACAAGCCCCTATAGTTAATTACCCCCACGATAATGAGAGAGAACTTTCGATTAAGGCTAGTCGTCAATCAGATAGGGTATGTTGTATCTGTGAATATATAGTATCAAGCATATAATAGTAGCATGGGCGTAGGTATTGGAGAATTTTGAAGAGTTTATATCTAAAATTGAAATTTTCACCATCTTGCACTTAAAGCGGATGATGGGGGAATGGATGATGGGCCCGATTAAGATCCCATGGTTCTGTCGTCTCGGGCCATCGTGGTCACTAGTCTACTTAGTCAGAAGAGATAGTCGACCCAACCTAACAGAAGGATCCTTGTCGGCAGCCATGGGTTGCTTCGTCCAAGGGTGCCTTATAGACCTGGGGTGAATGCTTGTCTAAGGGGACAAATTTGAATCCACCTTAGCTAACAGAGGGCTTTATGCCCTATCGATTATATCCTATTGATTCATATTTCAAGGATTTGATGCCATTAAGGAGCGTGTTGACTCTGGCCATAACCGGTATTTCGTGGTTCCATTTGGCGGCAAAACCACTCTGTTCAGAGGGCCCCGGGTCATAACCGTTTATCTTGCGGTAACATTTAGCGGCAAAATCGCCGGTTAGATGACACATACCACGTCCTTACTAGCAGGAGATTGTTTGAGAATAAATCCTAGTGATATTTTCGACCAGGCATTAGCTCTATGTGAGCTGAAGTAAATTTTAATTTGTCCACCTCGGCAAATTGTTGCGGATGGAGGATGTATTTTTCTTCAAGTGATTAGATGGTTTAATTTTAATTTTAAATATCTTAATCTTGGGTTTTTTTTTTGGATTTTGGATTTTCGTGGATATTTGGGTGGAGCTTTGAATATTGAAATCACCCCTCCGGTTGAAATATACGTTCAACAAGGTCATCATCGGGGTGAAAGAGGTTATTTCTCTTTGTTGATTGAACCTTGTCGACCCTATCAACTTGCCGAGAGGCCATCATAGGACTTTTTTTCAACTTATAGGTTTTTAAGCCAATGAGAATTTCAAACCTTGATTAATATTCCTCCACTATTTCTTCACTAGCTTTGCATTTTCTTTTCCTCACATGGATCCTAACCTAAACTTATTTTAGATAATTAAAAACTAAATATAGGGTTTCCTAATTTGATGACATAACCAAATGAGGCTCAATTAAATTTCATTATAAGGAAGAAAGCCTAACCACGTTCAAGCTCAGCTCAGTTATGCGTGGCTTAGCCAAAACTCAAAAGTGTTTGGCTTGGTTTCTTCTATAGGTTGAATGACTTCTTTTCCTCTTGTAGTAGCTTGTGGTTTCGCTTGCTTCTCTAGAATAAGTAAGCTTTTCCTTTCCCTTCTCCCTTTATGTCCGTCTTTGATTTTTTATTTCTTTCTAGCTCTTTTTCTTCCTCTCATTTGCTCTCTCTCTCAATCTCGCTGCATGCCACTTGTTGCTCTTTGCATGTGCCCTAGTCTAAGTCTTGTGGGATTGTCTCTATCTCTCCTAGATCGCTTGGTTGGCCCACATCTGCACCCCCCTCTTCGCGGCTTGCTCGCTTCAATTTTTGCTTCCTGAGCCTTCCTACACTTCTCTCTAAGAGATGGAATTTCAATTTCGGTTCTATTGATTTGGCACTATTAGTTCATTTATGAACCGTTTTTTACGAATACTCTTAGACGTGCATCCAAACATCACTCCAATATATTTAAGGTTTAATGTTTTTTCTAATCAATTGTTCCTGTTTCATTGGATTAATGGTGCTTTAGATTCTTATTATATTAGTTTACCTTTACTTTTTATTCTTCGTGCAACTGGCCCTGGGAAAGCTTTGTTACTTGCTGGCATAATAGAAACTTTCTATACTATAACGTTTATGGTCTCTAATTTTTTAATTTTTGCAGGTTAATATGCGCTCTTTGCCTCAACTTCCATGCTATAGGGAACTTGTCTCTGAACTGACTCCTGTTCATGCTAGATTAGCATGTGAAAATTCCATAGCTAAAAGGCACCCTGTATATAAATGCAGTGAAGTTCAGGTGATTTTGTGTTTATTTTTATTCTCTTTGGTGAACTAATATTGTTGTGCTTATGTTCCTAATATATTTTGTTTATCAATTATAATCGTTCCATATAATGGATGTATTTGGTGTACCGATATATTATTTGGAGAGAATTTGATTTTTTTTTTCTTATGTTGAATTTATATTCAATAAAATTTTTTCATGCACTAACTTAAAAGAATGACTGAAACTAGTGTGTAGAAATGAAAAAAAGTAGAAAAAAAACTACTTTGAATTTTATGGCTTGATTTTGTGCAAAGTGTGGAAGTATTTATAAGCTTTTTCAAAACGCTTATTATGAAAATAATTCAAAAATATTTAAAGAAGAAAAAAAATTCATGAGGGGCATGTGGCTAGAGTAGGAAGGTGGCATATGGATAGCAATCTTCGAAACATAATAGAATAGAACCAACGGTTTGAAACTTTAATCCGTGTTCTCAAGGATTCCTATTAAAATTGGTTGACTTGTGGGTCTCATGGTCCTTCAATAAACTGCTATGTGTTTTCCAACTGTGCACCTACTGTTAATTTCTTCTACATCTTTTCTAGGATATGGAGGAGCTGGTTAACAATGTCATGAAATGTTACTGTTAAAATCCCAACTATCCCTTAGGCCCTTGATCCCACGGCCAAGGATGGAGATCCGTGGGAGGCTCACTTGGATTATGCCAATCTCCTTCCATATTCAGGTGGTTGATTTAGGAAGGATTATAATAGCGCAATTATGAATAATTTTGTATTTATTTGTTTCTTTATTAAGATATCTTGCATGGATCTATAAATAGGGATAAATTTGTGTAATAATAATTGAATCATTTCTCCCTCTCCAATTCTGTGAATTCTAACATGGTATCAGAGCCAACGGGCCTTCATTGCCGATTGAAGAACAATCGTAGAATCGTCGGATGAGGAAAAGAAAAAAAAGAAGAAATCGGAGCTTCCAGATGCCGTCGACGCTGCCTCCAACTCGGACGAATGCAAGCAAGTAGAGTCGGCACTAGGCGGAGTCGAACATCCAGGCAGAATCGGCACCAGAAGGAGGGAGCACCAGGCGGAACGGGAGCAGGGCTACGGAGCTCTATCCGACTCTCGCACTATCTGCGAACGGTCGAACAACCACGAAGGAACCGATCGAAGTATCATAACTTCCGATTCGACAGAAGGGAGAAGTCTTCGACGGAGCATAGTCAAACAGCCACGAAGGAGCCGAAGAAGCACCTCCTGCAACGCACCCGAAGCCGAAAAACAACGACGTCAAAGGAGTGTATTCGGACAGCCACTGAGGAGCCAAAGAAGCAACGCGTGCCTACACCTCCTATGATGTAACAAAGCCATAAACGGAGGCGAACGAAGCTTGCGAAGAATTGAAGCACGTCCGACTCACGAGTGCGAAAGAAAGGCTTCATGCCCTAGCTTCTCTCGATTCGAGTCCTTTAAAGCTCAGTCCAGTTCGGTTCGGTTTACTAAACTAAGAGTTTATTTCAAAAAAAAGGGGGCCTTTATTGCCGTAACTAAAGATCGGAGGGATCTTATTTTTTGGAAGCCTTCATTGTTGTCCATAATCAAACAGATAGTCTTCGTTACTATAAAAAAAAAGCCAAAATTTTGAGGAATATAGGTTCCCACTACTGGCCTTCATTGCTGGAATTATGAGAAATATTGGTCATTCTACCAGCCTTTATTGCTGGAATTATGAGGAATGCAGGTTCCCACCTCCGGCCTTCATTGCCAAAATTTTTCCATATATTGTCGTGCCTTCATTGCCGACCTTCCCTTGAGAACCGAGAAGGAGACAAACCTAAAGATAATTAATCCACCTTCTCTACTGCCCCACCACCGGCCTTTATTGCCATTTCCGATATCTAGAAGCCTATTCTTCAACGCAACCTTCATTGCTACCCTTATAGGCTTGACTGATATAGCCTTCATCACTATCATTTATCGTTAAAGCTAATTCTCCCACAATTTTGACCAAATTGAAGACTATGGTACACTAAGGGACTTGATAATTCTACTGGACTAATTACCAAGCTATGAATGACTGATCTGTATTCCCCAGCTTGAGGGGGAGTGTTAAAATCCCAACCATCCCTTAGGCCCTTGATCCCACGACCAAGGATGGAGATCCGTGGGAGGCTCACTTGGATTATGCCAATCTCCTTTCATATTCGGGTGGCTGATTTAGGAAGGGTTATATTAGCGCAATTATGAATAATTTTGTATTTATTTGTTTCTTTATTAAGATATCCTGCATAGATCTATAAATAGGGATAAATTTGTGTAATAATAATTGAATCATTTTTCCCTCTCCAATTCAGTGAATTCTAACAGTTACAAATAAATGATTCCAGATAAAACTCCTTATCTTGATTTCTTTAATGGTTTGGTACCATGTACAATACCTAATTCATCAAGTAACGAAGTAATTTTAGAATGGAATGAAATGCAGAATTTTTTAAGCCTAGTATTTTTAAGCTTAGACAGGATTGTTAGATACTGAATCATTTCCCCTTATTTTATATCTACTACAGTGGGATGTTGATGTATTGTTTTTTAATTAAATTACCAACTTATAATGAGTTTGATCTTAAATAATTGATCGAGTTTTTTTGGAACTGAATTATATATTTATATGGTCATTTGATCATTAATGCGCTTCCAGACTCATTTTCTGATTTATTTAGTATCCAAAAGATAATATTCATCCTTTTTTTAGGGAAACCATGGTCGATTTTGGATTTAATTATGAATGTTAAATTATAGAAATTTTGCCTTTGATTTCTGTTTCATGTTTTCCAATATTCACGATATTCATAGTAGAATATTTTTCAATACTAACAATCTTTCTAGTTGGCTTTAAATTTTTTGTAATTGGGAGATGTGAAATAGTCATATAGCTTCTCCATGAAGTTCTTGTGCATCATTTATTTATTTATTTTAATATTTGATGTAGGCAGGGGGGGAAGGCGGGGCAAATTATTTTGGGTTGTAATTTTGGTGAGCTGCTATGTCCTCTTCTAAAATCAGCTCATTAATGTTGAGCTCTACTTCTTTTTAGCTCATTAAGAGCTGTGGATTTGGTTCTTTCCCCTTTGCCTGTGACCCTTCGGTTTTCCTCTCCGGCTCCTTCCCGTGGTTGGTTCTTCACCCCTTGGCTGCCTATTCAGGTTCCCTTTGGTGCCCGTTCCTGTCTCCCGTGGCTTCCTTTCCAGTTCCCTATGTGACCCTTCGGCTGCTGCTCCTGGACAGCCCCTTGGCCTTCTATTTTCCCCTGTTTTGATGGTTCGGTTGGAGGAAATTTGGGTTGTTTGGCTGCTCCTTTTCTTCTATATATGTGATATTTTGTAAGCAAAAAAAGAAGTTTATAGACTAATTTTTTGAAGCCAAAAACCTAAGGGTATTTCTTGGAAAAGCTTGAGAGCTTTCTCCACTTCTTTTCTCTTCTTCTTGGGAAGGCTTGCGAGCTTGTCCTCTCTTTCGTCTCGGGCTTCTTACCTCTTTCTTCTCTCTGCAAGTGACCACCACATCTGTATCTTTCTTCTCGATCAGGAAAAGCTTCTTTACATATTTTCATGTCTTATTTAAGTTTGTAATGTCATGTTATGTTTAAAAGTGTTTAAAGTGTTATTTGTCCTTTTTATTTCAAGTTATAAGGAAAGTATTTGTTTCTTTTTTGTGACCAAGGGTCTCCTACTTGTTTTGGGAGCTTTTGGTTGCATCAATATTGCTAGTGGAAGGTCTATATCTTTGACATTGTCGCTAACAAGGTCAATAAGTGACATTTGAGTTGTGAACTTAAGATTTCCCTGGAAGTTACAGTGATCTTCTTGACCTTCATTAACCACCTCTTTCCCAATGAAAATTAGTCTGCATGTGAGCCACATGAATGTGTTGATTGTTTACTTTACTGCTTATGTACTTTCATGGTGAGTAGGAGCACTAGGTTGTTTTGTGTTGTGTTTTTTTTTTTTTTTTTGTTTTATTTATTATGAAGAGTCTTTCCAATGAAAACTAATAAGGTCGATAAGTTACAATGGATTGGAGATATCTTACCTGTTACAAAGATCTCCTAGAACATTATTAGCTATCTATTTTCCTTTTTATAATGATAATTGATTTTGGAATGTATTTACGAATTAGGATTGAATAAGTGAAAAATAGTCTAACTTGACGACGACGACAACAATAGCAAGTTTTTATCCCACTATGTGGGATCGGCTGCATGAATCATTTTTCTCCATTGTGCCCCGTTGAGTCAAATTCTCGTCTAAATCTAATAAAGAAATGTCATTTCTAATATTTTCTAACTAAGTCTTGTTATGTCTACCTCTGACTTTCTTAACATAAGTCAAATCTAATACATCTATTTTTCTAATCGGGTCATCTGAAGGTTGCCCTTTTATATGACCAAACCATCTAAGGCGACTCTATCTAATCTTATCTTACACTGGAGCTACTCCAACCTTTTCACATATATGCTCATTTTGTATCCTGTCTTTGAGAGTAAAGCTACTTATCCACCTGACCATCCTCATCTCTGTAATACTTAACTTAATATTATGCTTCTCTTTTAATGGCCAACACTCTGCACCATAAAGCATCGCAGGTCTCACTACCATCTTATAGAGTATTCCCTTAAGTTTGAGAGGGACTTTTCTTTCACACAACATGGTTGATGCATTCCTCCACTTCAACCATCCAACTTGAATTCTACTAATAATATCCCCATCTATTTCACCATCATTTTGAACAATAGACCCAAGATATTTAAAATGTGTACTCTTATTAATGACTTGATCATCCAAAGTCATAATCCCCCACTAGATCTATTATTATTAAGATTACACTCCATATACTCAGTTTTAGATCTACTCATACGAAAGTGTTTAGACTCTAAGGTTGACCTCCATAATTCAAGTTTACCTTCAACTCCCTCTCTAGTCTTATCAACAAGAAGAATATCATCATAAAATATCATACACTAGGGCACAACCGCTTGCAAATATCTAGTTAGAACATCCATGAATAAAGCAAAAGGATATGGGCTTAAGTTTGATTCTTGATGTAATCCAACTGAAATAGGAAAATACTTGGTCAAACCACCTTGTGTTTGAACACAAATAATAGCTCTTGCATACATATCCTTAATGACTTGAATATAAGCATTATTAACCTCTTTCTTATGTAGAACTCTCCATAGCACTTCTCTTGGAACTTTATCATATGCTTTCTCTAAATCAATAAAAATCATATATAGATCCTCCTCATTCTCTCTATACTTCTCCATTAAATCTCTTAATAATTGTATAGCTTCCATAGTAGACCTACCTGGCATAAATCCAAATTGATTTTGAGAAACATTAATGTCACGCCGCAATCTATGCTCCATCTCTCTCTCCCATATTTTTAAAGTATAGCATATTAACTTAATTTTTCTATAATTCGCACAATCTTGTGCATCACCTTTATTCTTAAAAATAAGAATCAACACACTCATTCTCCACTCACATGTCATCTTTTTAGTCTTCAAAATAATATTAAAAAGTTTAGTAAGCCACGAAATTCCTTTATCTCCTAAGCATTTCCACACTTCATTTTCTTTTCCTCTTTTGTTCTATATTTCTCTTCCTTTGTGTCCTCCTCCTCTTCTTTTCTTTATTTATCTTGCTTTGCTTTTGTTCTATATTTCTCTTCCTTTGTGTCCTCCTCCTCTTCTTTTCTTTATTTATCTTGGCCCCCCCCCCCCCCCCCCCTCCCCAACACACACACATTTTTTTTTCTTCACTTCTTCTCTCCTTCTCCTTCTTCCCTTCTTTTTTTCCTTTTCTTTTTGCTTCCTTCTTTTGTATTTCCTTTGTCGAGCATACTCGAGCTCCATTCTTATCTGGTTCTGCTTTGGAAGGACAATGATGAATATGAATCATGGAGAAATAAAAAAGATGGATTCATATAACAGAGAAATATGATGAAATAAGCTTAAGTTATTAGCAATTTATCTAAACTATCCTATTGGCTATGCCCATTATCAATTTATACTTGCATGGTATGAAATTTTGGAAAAACTCAACTTTTGCTACAGTATAGTTATTTGCTATAGTAACATAAGGTAAATCATTTAATAACTAAATTAATTTATAAATAGAATGTAGAATTTTATAAAAAAATAGTTTTTATGATTTTTGAGATGTGTGAAAAACAGGGTATAATTTTTAGGAGAAGTTTTCAATTTATCTTTTTGAAATTTTAGGTGTCATAGTGTATGGGGTTTATTGATGGCTAGGAGCTACTTCAGCATTATGAATATGATGTTGATGATGATGAAAAAATACAGTGATGGCAGATGTCTTTGTAGTTATGATGGTAGGTTTTATAACTTGTTTGATGATATTAAAAATTTGCCTCTAAGTGACCTTTAGCTGATCTATTAATGATTTCCAGTGATGCAGTATTAAAAGATGCCACGATCCCGTTAACTGACTTTCTTTTTGTTTTTAGTAAATCCTTAAAAGAAAAAAATGGAAGGTCCTACGTTTGAAATTTGAATCGTTTCTGTGAAATATGGGTTATACTATGGGTTTTGCTTTTCTGGAGTCATATGGGTATTACTAGTGCAATATGGTCTGAAGAATCATACACCCACAATTCTTGATTAGCCCAAAGAAAAAGATATTTCAATTTTCATACAAATGCACAATTAATGATTGTCTTAATAAGGGCAAGATTCATCCCTTTGCTCTAATACTCTTCTGTGGTGAAGGAATCTTAATCTTGTGCGTATATGCTATATAAAATGAAATCAGGTGAGGGCTTGTAATTTAATTGTGTCATCTCCATGAACGCAAATCTAAACTCGATCCCGTTGATATCCTGCAGACTCGTTTGCTTTGTGCATCAATGCATTCCTCATATCTACATATATTTTTATCAGGCTTTACATAAGTTAGAATTTTATTTGTAAATACATTTTTGCTCCATACTTACCTTGTTTGGATAAGCTGATCAAAGTCTCTGGATATTTCTTGTCTGGAAAAATATGCTACTGTGCTATCAGTTTAGTTAATGATGAATTAGATGTAGCAATCGTTTTGTCTTTGTCTATTATTTCCTTTTGTTTGTAATGGCCTTTCTGATGATGCATGTATGCTAAATGTTGAGAATTACAGGCAGAGGCTGCTGGAAACTTCTTGCGCATTTTGAGACGCTTTATGGAATCTCTTTGTTTGAATTTGCGATCTCATACAATCACTAATATACTGGCCAACAATGACAAGGTTGAGACCTGTCTCTCCTTTGTTTTTGAAGTTTGTTATCTTCTGCTATACAAGAATTACTTCCTTTCAGATGAATACCTTAACTTTTTGTATCTAATAGGACTTTGTATTACTTTGTCAGGTTTCTCTTCTTCTTAAAGAAAGCTTTATCGAATCATTCCCCACCAAGGATCAACCATTCATGAAGGTTTTCTATTTCCTAATATCATCTCATTCTTAATTGCATGGCTATTTTTAATGCTATTCCTTTTGAGATATCTTATTCCAAGAATAAGATTAATCAGGTACTTTTGTTTCAAAAGACCTTATATTCCTACATTTGCTTCTCGAGTTGTTTTTTTTGCCCCTTGATGGATTGTTTTGGATTTTGTCTGTACAATAGTTTCACATTATCAGTCATGGAACTGAAGTATCCTTGAGATGGTGCCTTGGAGCAGATTTGCTCAAGCTTCGCGACAGGGATTACTTGATCCATCTAGTATGTGGATGCGGATAATTGTGTTATGAGATTAATTAAAGGCTACGCAATTTTTTAAGAGTGGGGAGTCCATTAGCTTTAAAAGATATTATCACCACTAAGGAGACCAAGCTTGATGAGTAGCTTCCAACAGAGGTCTAGACATTTTGGATCTCGTTTGTTTTGGTGATGAGAAATGATAGGATTATCTGCTGGTTAATGCATTGTTGGCAGCTTTCCTAAGGGAGAGGTGTTGGGAGTGCTGAATAGGTAAGGAGACAAAACAGTTGAGATAGAAATTGATTAAAAATAGATAACAAATACATTATCAATGAGTAATAAAATGAATTTTAGAGTATTAAGAAGTAAAAATGGTTTGGCTTAGATAACACGGATTTGAGTTGTTTGAGAAATAATTGCAAAGAGTAGGTTTAACTCCTAAAGCATCATTTGATAAGAATGTTGGAATTTAAACATTCATAAAACTTGATTACACATAGTTGGGATAAGGTTAATGATGATCAGTTAAATTTGTTTGATTAAATTTAATCTTACATATTAAAACATTAGGTTAGTTTTATTATTATTTAATTAATTAAATGAATTAATTAATTGATTAATTGATGTAAAATGATCATGCATTAATTAATTAAGTATGATTTTTTTATTAAGTTACCTTTATTTAATTTGTAATTCATATTTAATTATTAGAATCATTATTAATTAGTCAATATTAAAAAAAATTGGTTTGGAAAAGGTTGCTTTGCTATGGGGCAGGTTACCTTCCCTTATATCAACCTGTGATGTTATCTCGCTGTACATATTTTCCCTTAGCAAAGTAGCCCCATTTTTCCTGGGTGTTATAAAGTTATTTCACTTGAACTGGCATAACTATAAATCCTTATAACAAATGTTTTAACTTTTGCTTCTTAAATTAGCATCTACTTACTGAGTCTAAACTTTTTGTATCTCAATTTTTTTTGTTTTTACTCCAAATTGTTAGCTGGTTTGATATTTAAATATTTTGTTCCTGTTTTACTGTAAAAAAAGGGTTTGTACAATATCATCATAATCATCATTAGCCTTATCCCAACTATTTTGGGTCACCTATTAATCATATTTTTCTTTCAATCCTATTGAATGATGCTTGATGTATTAAACATATTCTTAAATCATTTTTGAATAATTTCTATCCATATTACCTTAGATCTATATATTTAATTTTCAAATCCTTCGGCGTTCAATCTAATGGTGGTGTATTTCCTACCCTTAGCATTCTAACTGCTGAAAATAATCATTTTTTAATTTAATCTTCCTCATATTGTCATGCAGAATTTGGCTATCAATGATTTTTTATTGCTCAATACAACATATCCAACCTAATTGTAGTTACTATAATTTATCTTTTAAGTTTCTATAATATCCTCTTATTAATCTAATCCCTTTCTCCAATTTAACCACCAGGATATAACTTAGAAGTCATATCCTCATTTTTTCCATATTACTTTGTATAACAATCTTATGATGTTTAAACTTATCATACCTAGGTATTATTCTAATATTTTTTATTGATAATTGGTACTATCATATTTACTAAAATTATGTATAATATATTCAATTTTTGTTCTACCAATTCTAAGCCTACTATCATTTAAGCATTTCTCGATGATTGTTGCAGCTTTTTGTGGACACACAGCTGTTTTCTGTTCTTTCAGACTCTCGAATGTCCAGTTTTGAGAATGAAAAGCCATTACTGTGAATATACAAGCTGCACACTATTAACCATGAGCCAGAAGATGGGGCTCCGCCTCCATTGCTCCACTTCCACAGTGCTTGAGCTCACAGTGCAGGCACACTTGCATTTGGAAGAAAATCCTCCGGCGGAATTGTAACATATTGCAATGATTATAACATGAAATATCAAAGTGAGAACCATCCCATTGTTTTAGAAGGGGATGGCCATGATTACAAGTTATAGGTCCTTTTTAGAAGCAATATTTTTTGTGTATGTAATTAATAAATACACTTAGGCCTCGTTTGGGGCGGCTTTTTTTCTGCTTCTTAAATCAATTTTTTTGGTACAAAAATAAAATTTGTGTACTAAGAAGTTACTTTAAGAATCAGTAAAAAAGAATCCCAAACGAAACCTTAAAGCTGATTTTTTGGTGGGGAATGATCTTTTTTTTCTGTTTAATGATCACCTTGAGCAAATAATCAAGTTTTGCGTGAAGTACTCAGTTATGATTTGTTCTTGCTTGGTTTTTGATGAAATGGTAGCTGAATCCATGTTCTTCATTTATACTGCTTAAGATTGATAATATCTGATCATTTGAATATCGTTCTGCTTATGTGTTTGTTGGCGCTGGTGAACATTTTTTGTCGATCACTCTCTTTCATAAGGAGACTTTGGCCCAATCTCTGTGGGAAAGAATTGCTACTTTGTAGGGCTGTGGTTCTGTGAATGATTCAATTTTGGACTGAAATAGGATTGGTTTAAGATCTGCTCAAAATCATTCAATTTTATTTTGAGCTGAGTCGAGTCTAATTATAGATTAACTTGATTCAAACCTAACTCAATTCAGCTAACTTTTTAAGTTTCAAATCAAGTTCAATTCTGCCAACAAAAATATACTCTTTTTATTCTCTCTAAGAACTTTTAGTTCAACTTCAAAATAAGAGTATATATATAGGGTTTGATTTGCTTGTTAATTAGGTTGTTTATTTAGGCTTTATTTGGGATGATTTTTTTACTACTTAAATTATTTTTTTAGTATAAAATTTTTAATTTGTGTACTAAAAAATTGCCTTAAGAAGCGACAAGAAAGTCGTCCCAAATAGAATCTAAATTATTTCATATGTTCTCGCTCTGAAAATTAGACATCTATAGGTTCGGATACTGTATTGTTGTACTTGCAATCAAAATCTTCAAAAATGTAGAGTAAGGTAAGTTTAGGCTATCATATTTTTGCGCACTTTTTATAGTCTTTAAAAGGAAAAATTATTAGGTGCGGAGTGCAGACGGGGTGAGAACCGTCTGCACAGACACAGAGTACCGAGCGGTACCCAGCGGTACCGAGTGGTACCGAACGGTACCGAACACTGTTTTATACTAGTGTGCAGACGGTTCTCCCGTCCGCACTCCGTACCTAATAATTTCTCCTTTAAAAGGCCTTAGATTTATACTAGTGAGGACCTTGTTCGATCCAAAAAAAAGTCTTCTAGGGCTAAGTCATTAAGGAACATCTCTCCCGGGCTTTAAAGAGGTGAAGGTCATGTCAATGAACCTTCCTTTTTAGATCTCTCTCAATAGAAGTCACTCTTAAGTTCATGTCAATGAATAAGAAACTTGTAGTAAGATGATTGTGGTATAGAGATTATAGTCGAGAGATGGTGGTCATAATGTTGTAATCGGGTGATGTTAGTTGTGAGATTGTGATTGGGTAATGATGTTTGGGAGATTGTAGTTATGCAATAATGATTAGGATATCATAATCGAGCAACACTAGTTAGAAAACCTTAGTTAGGCATCAATAGTCTAGCAAAGGTGGCCTAGAAATTGTAGTTAGGTGACGCTTGTCAAGAGACCACAATCAAGCAAGGGTGTTCAGGAAGCCATGATAAGTTATTATGGTTATGAGATTGTGATCGAGCGATAATGATGGTTAGGATATTAAATTTTTGTGATAACAGTATGGAGATGGTTCTTAGAAAATTTCAGTTATGCAATAGTAGCAAAAAAATTATAATTAGGTGACTATGGTCAGGAGACCTAAGTCAAATGTAATCGAGTGATAGTTTTTAGGAGGCTTTAGTTTAGCGGTTATAGGTGGGAGATCATAGCCTAGCAATTGTGGTCTAGAAACCATAATATGATGGTGTGGTGGTATGGATATCGTAGTTAAACAATAGTGGATGAGAGATTATAGTTGGTAAACAGCTATCGAAAGATCATTTTTTGGTGACAATAGTATAATAATATTTGTTAAGAAATGTGATCATGTTATAGTGGTGTGATGGTGATGATAATCCAATAATGGTGGTTGTGTAGTTTCACTCACGTGATGGTAGTTTAAATACAATGGCCAGGCTTCTATGATTTGATAATAATAGTTAGGTTGTTGTAGTTTGATGATAATGGTTAGGTGGTGGTGATTTGGCACTATTGATCTAGTAGTGTTAGTCCAAAGGTAGTGACCATGCAACGGTGGTTTGATGATGGAAGTCAGGTGAGAGTGGTCCGATGGTGGTGACCATGTTGTAATAGTCTGATGGTGATGGTCAGGCGATGATAATTCAATGTTGTTGGTTGGGTGGTGCAGGTTTGATTGTGGTGGTTTGGTGATATCAATTCAAAAGTGGTTTTTAGGTCATGACAGCTCGATAGTAGAGGCCAGGCATCATTGATCTATCAAGGGAGGTCAGGTGAATACAATCTAACAGTGGTGGTGGTTAATGGTGGCAGACCAGTGATCAGGTGTTGGTAGTCTAACAATGGTGGTTAGGTAGAGCTCCAAGATTCTTCAAACATTTGAGCTATTTCCACCTCTCACATCCTCATGCGTAGAATGAGAATCTAGTTATTATTTTTTAGAGTGATGTTTTGATTATTTTTGCCAATGCCCTAAAACATTTCATTAGATGGTCTGCATTGATTCTCTAGATCATTGTCTTAATAATAACATAATCAAATGATATTAGACTCATTGGATTCATCTAGCCAAGGCAATTGTTTTAATTATAAGTATGAAAAATTCAGAAATTGTTTGATCATTCAATTAATATTAATAAATTTTGAACTAGGGTTGAAGTGCTTGACTTGTGCTCATTTAGACTCAAATCAGAACAAGTTTTCCGTCATTTGGTCCGTCTCATCAAGATTTTTACTTTTAGACTTGAATAAATTTTAATCTTATTAAATTTATTTAAAATAAATACCTTTTTAGATCTCTCTCAATAGAAGTCACTCTTAAGTTCATGTCAATGAATAAGAAACTCGTAGTAAGACGATTGTGGTATAGAGATTATAGTCGAGAGATGGTGGTCAGAAGGTTGTAATTGGGTGATGTTAGTTGTGAGATTGTGATTGGGTAACGATGGTTGGGAGATTGTAGTTATGCAATAATGATTAAGATACCATAATCGAGCAACACTAGTTAGAAGACCTTGGTTAGGCATCAATAGTCTAGCAAAGGTGGCCTAGAAATTGTAGTTAGGTGATGCTTGTCAAGAGACCACAATCAAGCAAGGGTGATCAGGAAGCCATGATAAGTTATTATGGTTATGAGATTGTGATCGAGCGATAATGATGGTTAGGATATTAAATTTTGGTGATAACAGTATGGATATGGATCTTAGAAAATTTCAATTATGCAATAGTGGCAAAAAAAATTATAATTAGGTGACTATGGTCAGGATACCTAAGTCAAATGTAGTCGGGTGATAGTTTTCAAGAGGCTTTAGTTTAGCGATTATAGGTGGGAGATCATAGCCTAGAAATTGTGGTCTAGAAACCATAATATGATGGTGTGGTGGTATGGATATTGTAGTTAAACAATAGTGGATGGGAGATTATAGTTGGTAAACAGGTATTGAAAGATCATTTTTTGGTGACAATAGTATAATAATGTTTGTTAAGAAATGTGATCATGTTACAGTGGTGTGATGGTGATGATAATCAAATAATGGTGGTTGAGTAGTTTCACTCAAGTGATGGTAGTTTAAATACAATGGCTAGGCTTCTATGGTTTGATAACAATAGTGAGGTTGTTGTAGTTTGTGATAACGATTAGGTGGGGGTGATTTGGCACTATTGGTGTAGTAGTGGTAGTCCAAAGGTAGTGACCATGTAACGGTGGTTTGATGATGGAGGTCGGGTTAGAGTGGTCCGATGGTGATGACCATGTTGCAACAGTCTGATGGTGATGGTCAGGCGATGATAATTCGATGTCATTGGTTGGGTGGTGCAGGTCTGATTGTGGTGGTTTAGTGATATCAATTTAAAAGTGGTTGTTAGGTCATGACGGTTCGATAGTAGAGGTCGAGCATCATTGATCTATCAAAGGAGGTCAGGTGAATACAATCTAACAGTGATGGTGGTCGATGGTGGCAAACCAGTGATCGGGTGTTGGTAGTCTAACAGTGGTGGTTAGGTAGAGCCCCAAGATTCTTCAAACATTTGATCTCCAAGATTCTTCAAATGAGCCCAGGTCAAGCACTTCAAATCTAGTTATAATTTTTTAGAGTGATGTTTTGGTTATTTTTGCCAACGCCCTAAAACATTTCATTAGATGGACTTCATTGATTCTCTAGATCATTGTCTTAATAATAACATAATCAAGTGATATTAGACTCATTTATTCATCTAGCCAAGGCAATTGTTATAATTATAAGTATGAAAAATTCAGAAATTGTTTAATCTTTCAATTAATATTAATAAATTTTGAACTAAGTTTGAAGTGCTTGACCTGGGCTCATTTAAACTCAGATCAGAACAAGTTTTTCGTCATTGGATTCATCTCATCAAGATTTTTACTTTTAGACTTGAATAAATTTTAATGTTATTAAATTTATTTAAAATAAATATAATATTTTATTCATCAATAAAAATTATATTAAATTCATCTTAAATAAAATAAACTAAATGATAATATTTTTTTTTCTAATCAAATCAAAATATTCTCAGTCTTCTTTTTTCCCCCTTTTGAGTGGAAATAGTAGGGAATGAGCATATGGAATCTCTATTTGACCTTTCGAATTATCAGAGAGGCAACGTGCCACCAAATGATTCGATTCTTAATGAAACTCAACGCGATGTGCCCCACCATTTTGATTCTACTTTGACTGAAGCGCGTTCACTTTTGTTCCTAACTTTCCATTACTTTGGCAAATGGAATTAATAGATTATTTATTTTTTTCCAGTGGTCCTTAATTGAAAAGATATTATGTAAATTTAAATAGCTCCAATGAGATTATTTAACATTATTTTTCAAAGCAAATCATGCATCCTCATGTTTCATGCACTTAATACTAATTTCCTTTCCATCATTTCATGATAAAATATATTGCTATAATATACTTTAAGATAGGCTTCAAAATCATTTAATTTATATTAAAATTAGTGAGTTTTATGATATTTTGATTTATATTAAAATGTAATTTTAGTATAAATCAGATAACTTTTTAACTCATTATGATAATTTTTTTTTAAGTAAATCACATGACGAAACAAATAAGAAAAGAAAAAGTTTTTATTTAATATTGCTATAAAAAGCTTCTAGATGGGTTTCAAAATCATC